CCCCCCCCCCCCCCCCCCAGCTCTCCAGTCCCCACTGTCATGGTGGCTGTCCACTGTCTGTTCTATCCATCTAGAATAAAGCGTTATGGACAGACAGACTAAGGCTTTTATAATATTAGAATATTGCACCACTAATATATATGCGGCGTTTCATTTTAATTACAGAAAAATGAGGATTTTGGGTTACTTTTTTTAACCAAAAAATTGGGGTGTCTTTTTTATTTTCAGGGAAAAATTAGGATCCCTGGTTATGACTGGATGGAAAACTTCTTGCTTTTAGATGTATTACTTCTGCCATAATGGGTTTGTCTTTTACATCCTTTGAAATTTGGTACAACTACTATAGGGTCACAAGCTGAATCAAAGTCAGCAACAAAAAAGTATTGGCTCTAACTCTGCATCAAGCAGGTAGGCAGCATAATGATCACTTCATTTTTTTTTTGCATGATTTTTATCTATTTATTTTTATTTTCTCTTGAGCATTTGTAAGTAGACTTGGTTCAGTATTCTTACCAGCAGCTTAGGCAGGAGGGTTTTCATTTCTTTTTTTAATGTTACAGTGTTTGCTCTTGGGATCAGGCAATGTAGAACTCTCATTCTCTGTATTTTGAGTGGACTAAACTACAGGTATAACCAGTGAAATCAATGTTGCATTTTGCATCAAGATAAATGCTCACAAATATTTGTATGGTTGCTGATTGAAATGCCTTTTTGCAGATTTGAAGATCCTTCTGGTGAGATTTAATAGAAGATGCCCATTGAATACAACAACTGAATGCTGTTCTAAATAATGCTGAAATACAGTTGCTGATACATGCAGTTCTCGTCACTTTTGCCATGCGATAAGAAAGCTGTCAGATTTTCAGCACTGCCTAGGAAAAGCTGCACTCTTTGGGTAGGCCATCCTTAGCACAGAAAGTGTGAATATTAATCAACAAAGCCAAGCACAGTTCAAATGAGCTGTGCTTTCAGTTGCAATTAAAATCTTTTGTGGACCCAATTTATTGATGACTAGGACCTACTTAACTCGTGGTGTTGTCCCAGGGGGAAGGAGGGATGATGGGTGGCCACTGTCTTGACTGCTGGCTGCTCTTCATCCAGCTCTGTCTCTCAGCACTGATTGGTGGATTGGCCCTGGGAGGAAAGAGTGAGGACAAGATGGTGGCTGTCCCCTTCATGCTGCCCCACCAGCCAACACCTTCCTCTCCTAGACAAGATGCGAGGTCTGCCTGGGAGGGGAAGACTTAATTTAAAAAAAAAAAAATTACTAAGGTTTTTTTTATTTTGCAAGCAAGCCTGGATTTCAGTTTCTCAGAAACTGCGATTTAGGTAGGTCCCTATTGCTGACATTTAAACTTGTTGACACTGTCTGTGCTATGCTTACCTGTATATTGAAATGAGTAAACACTAGTTTTGGAATTGTTACTATGAGTTTGGTGATGAATACCATCATCATGAGTATTGCTCCATGTATCGCATGTGACCCACCTCAGGAGGCTGAATGAGAGCACCACATCCTTTCACGTCTTTCATGTCAGCAGGCAGAATACTTCTGGCAAGATGATTCCAGCTTGGAACTCTGTAAAGTGGATTCAAGTTCTAGAAAACATCATAAAAATTTGCAACTCTGTGAAATTATGTATTGCTGGCATATGTATGGTTAAGTTCATTTTCTCTCATCAGTAAAAACCTCTTAATACCAAGGCATCCTTGCAATAGGAGTGTTTAAATGCTTGAAGCACGTGGAATAACAACATTCTTGTTAGAAGGTGAATAAATGGACTTAGCTTCACTTTCACTGTCACTTGTATCTTCCTTAACAGATTGCTTTGTGATGGTGCAAACCAGCTTGCCCTTTCTTGCTGTTTGATTGCTAAAGTCTATCCTTAATAGCAGCTGGGCACCCAGTGCAAGAATTCAACAATTTTCTCTGTTCTTCCCTACATGTGCTGGGTGTATTGACGGTAATGTCCCTTGCAAATCAAGAGAAGTGATTCTTTTGCTCTGTTCAGCACTGGTGTGAGGTCTTACCTGGATTACTGTGTGTCTAGTTTTGGGCACCATACTTCAACTGGATGTGACTGGAAAGAGTCCAGTGGAGGACCAAAACAAGAATTAGAGGCCAGGAAAACATGGCCTATGAGGAAAGGCTGAAAGAGCATTATTTAGTTTGGAGAAGAGAAGGCGGGGGGAGAGGGAGTGTATATGATAAGTCTTCAAATACCTGTAGGACAATTTTAGAGAAGGTAGAGATGGGCTTTTCTGTAGCCATAGGGGACAGGACGAGGAGCGAGCAATGGCTTCAAGCTGCAGCAGAAGAAATTTAGGTTAGAGTTTAGGAGTTTAGGTTAGAAATTTAGGTTAGAGTTTCCAACTATGAGAGTGGTCAAGCATTGGAACAGTCTACCCAGAGAAGCTGTGAAATCTCCATCTCTGGAAATGTGCAAAAGCAGGTTGGACATATGCTTGTCTAGGATGGTTTGGTTGGGGGATAGTCCTGCTTTTGTCAGGGGGCTGGACTAGATGAGCTTTGGAGGTCCCTTCCAGCCCTATGACCCTACACCACATACTTAAAATGCCAGAATTTAACTTTCACATTTTTACTGTCTTCATTTCTAGGGGAAATGACCATGTGTAAATGATTTTGGCTTTCTCTGGCTCTCCACAATGTATTAACATCTGTCTTGCTGAAATGGTGGTTCTTGGAAGGATGTGTCTAGATTATGAAGCATATCTGCTATTATAAGCCACTAGCTATTGTGTTTCTAACTGGTACTGTTACAGAAGATTCTGCCCAATCGAAATGATTTCAGGCATGCGTCTACCTCCTTTGGGTACCTTTACCAGATCCTAAGTGCCACAGAGGACAGGGGCATGTGGCCTCTTCTTGCTGCGGCAAGCATCATGGCACTTTGCTGTCCTGGACATACGCAGCCTATGCCACCTTGGGAATATTTGCTTTCTAGACTGCTGAATGGTACTGCCAGAAATCCATGAAGTTAGCCAGGAGAATGTTCCAAAACTAATGGCAGACAAGGTTCATTGGGTAAATCTGATATCTTTTATCAGACCAACTCGATAAAAATAAAAAGTATCAGATTTACCCAGAGAACCTTGTCTGCCTGTGTCCTTAGACCAAGACAGCTACAACCTATACGCCTCCAAAACTAGTAGCATAGAGCAGTTCCTGCAGCAGGTACTGTATGCTACTGCAGTGGGGGGGCAGTGACAGGAGGCAATACAATCAGGAGAGAGCATCAGGAGAGGGGCTTCCTGCCCTTCAGTGTATGGGGACGTGGTACTATGATCGTGCATGTGGAGTGAGGAATCTAGAGCACTGACTTCTGTGGGTGCATCAGGATGCATTCAAAATAGGGCAAGTTCTTGTATTGGGGCATTCTGTACCTGCTGGAATACTTGACAATACCTGACTGGATCCAAATAAACAACTTCCTGGCTTGCACTGCTAAACTGCCACAGCCACTTGTAGTGCAGCATAAGGGCCCAACTGGAGAGCCAGCACTCCATCAATATGGGCTTTAAATTTGCACCCTGCCTTGTTTTCCAGTAAATTCCCTTGGGTGGACAAGCTCTCATGTTAAAGCAGCTAAATGAGTTCTTGATTCTTTCCCATGCATACATCCTTGAGGATCTGCATAAAACCATTGTATAGTGATTGCTTTTTTTCTGACTCTGTTTTGGTCCTGTTCCAATGTTGCTTTTATCTCCTCTTTTTGCCAACCCCCGGTATGTAAGATAAAGCAGGGTGAAATCAGGGCTTTGTTCTTGGAAGTCCCAGGCATGCTGGCCTTTATTGAGGGGCTCTGCATCCAAGGAGATCAGAGCCACCATGAAGGCATGCCCAAAGTGAATGTGCACTCTGGCTTTTTCACAGCATGCTTTCAAACCCCTAGAGATAGACCAGGCACCAAGCTGTACCATACCTACACTCTTTCCTCCAAGCTGTATATGTGAGTCGACAGCAAGAAAAGTATCACAACAGCAAGCACAGAGGGCACGTATCTCTCCAAGTGCATTTTAATCATATCCACTTATTGTCAGAAGTTAGCCCAGATCATGAAGGTAGAGAGGCCTTC